CCTAGCCTTAAAAGTAGACAGGGTGTCTGCCTCACGGACTAAAACTGGTAGTTGGTTCCACAGGAGAGGAGCCTGATGACTAAAAAAACTGCCTCCCATTCTACTTAAGAAATTCTAGGAACCACTAGTAAACCTGCAGATTGAGAGCGAAGTGCTCTGTTAGGAACATAAGGAACAATCAGAGATATTAGATTGTTGTATCAGATATATATCAGATATCATCTATCTTTGATAGATGGATATATAAGGAAGGGCATCTGATGCCCAGACGTCTTTTACATAGTTAGATCATGTCCAAAAAAAAAAAAAAAACATTTTCAAGAACTAAGAAATAAAGACAATCTAACGTCCCACGATTAGATTTAGAAAAAAAAACATAATTTGAAAACAATATCATCTTTTTGTCATAAGGAAAACACAAAGTCAAAAATGTAAACTAATGAGGTCTTAAGGTGAAAATAGGTAACACATCTGATGTCATAAGCTGTTTTTAATAATTACGATAAAACAGTAAAAAAGGAAAAGGTCTTTGAGAAGAGCTGAAAGAGAGATAATGATATGGCTTCAAAGAGTAAGATGATTCTGGATAAATATTTAAGACCATAAATGGAAGCCAGTATTAAACTCTTGTCTTAAGTTATATTCAGGATGAACATTTTATGTCAGGAAGGAAAACCAAGAAACATGTCTTATGTCATCAATAAATAAACAAAAAACAGGTAGGATATGTGATGTCATCACATTTTTTTTTAGAACGATCATATGATGTCACAAGATGAGATAAAGAAAACATCTGACATCATTAAGTGAAAACAATATAATAATTTCATGGAATAAATGAAACATCTGAGAACGTAAATAGAAGTCTAATGATATAACCTCTGAGGTCAGAACCTGACAACACATCTGAGGACATTAACTCTGTTTACCACAAATAAATTATATAAAAAGGGTTTAAAAATTGTGGTTATACATGTAAACCAGAGCCATGGAGATAGCAGAGTTCTCACATATCTATTGGTGACAATGGGCAACATTTCAAAGAGCAATTGTGACTCACAGAACATAAATAGTTTGGAGGAAGTTAGCCGCTCCTGCTAGCATTCCCAAAGAAATAAAATAAAGGATGCTAAACTATAGGAATATGAAGAGATCATAAATATCACATCAGGTTCCCTGCTTCTACCAGCATTAATGTTACACTTTAGAATGATAAACGGTAAAGTTATCATCTATTATTGATTAACAGATTCATCTTTGATTCATTTATAAACTGTTAACTAGATCATATATTAAGGTAATAATGATGTCAGGGATAAACTACCATGGCAGGCCTGTATGATCTATTTAACTTTTAAATGGATTAAAACTGATTATCAAACATCAATAAACTACATTTTTATCGAGTAAATAAAACAAATAGTTTATGTGTGACATGCACAGTTCAACATCATACGATGCAAACAATAAATCCATATGAAAAGAGGCAAGTATACATCCACTCATAAAGAAGCATTACTTTAATAGAAAATGTTATTTAGGTTGCTTTACTCATCTTTGATCACATAAACTGTTGTGACTTGTTCTAAGAAAGAAAATAAAAAATGAGCCTGAGGAGTCAGGAGCTGCTGACGGTCATCTAGCTCACGCCTTCCTGGATCCTATTAATGAAGTTATTTCAGAGCTTTTATTGATCCTTTGTTCCCTCCAACAAGATGCATTTACTGTTCTACATTTATAGTCAATTACACACCGATAAAACAACCACGACATCATCACACCTGCTGAGAAATCACCTGTGGCTTTAACACCACCCCACTGTGACCTTTAGGTATTAAACCAAAAAATCAAAAACATAAATAAACCCCAGAGGTATGACTCTGAAACAAAACATTAAGATTTATAAATGTTGCATATGAGTCACTTGAATATGACTGAAAACACACATTAAATGGCTAACAGAACTGTAAAATGAATACAACCTGTGAACCAGGAAGCTTATTTCCAGGATTTTGTGAACTAATTACTAAAAACATCAGATCCGTAAGAGCGCAGCCTTTATTTTGAAAGGGTTTATTGTGCAACTGTGATATATTTAATGCCTGCCCTGGTAGGAAGACTCCGCCATCAGTGACCTGTAAGGCCTGTCAGGTTTTGGGTAGTGTTCATTAGTGGAGATGAGATGATGAACACAATCCGGAGGATGAACAAACTCACAGCCACACTGGTCCTGGGGACTCCACAGAGCTTGTTTTTCAGAAGAAACGGGAACAAGTTGAATCCTGTTAAGATTCCTGGGAGAAGAAGTGGAGGTGGAGGAATCCCTTGGTGTTCACCTGGACAAAAATCTGGACTGGGACACAACTGGGAAGCTGTCTGTAAGACGGGACAGAGCAGACTGGACTTCTAGAGGAAGCTTAGGTCCTTCAGATGCTGCAGATCTTCTATCAGTCTGATCTCTTCCTCCATCATCATCATCATCATCATCATCATCATCATCATCATCA